TGAGATAAATAATAAAACACCTTTAGTATCTGATAATAAATTTGGAGATTTGCCATTTAATCAATATCCATCTAACTGAACTGAGCTTAAAAACCAAGTTACTTGTTTAAAACATGATCTAGATATTGCTTTAAGCTTAGGTATTTAGCTTAGCACTAGAAACAGTCTCTTGATAAAAAATAATGAGAGTTTTTCAAAGTGTGTATGCCAACTTGAAGATGAGGCAAGAAAACTCCAAAATGAGATTAATTAAAAAGAGATTTCTCTTGCAAATGCTAAGAGTGAGATTGCTACAAAATTGAAAGAGATACAAGCTTTCCATTCAAGAGTAGAGGAATTAGAGCAGGATATTTCTTTAGCAGAGAAGAGATTATCAGAAATAGATTCTCTTAAGTATAAATCTGAACAGGAATACATAAAACTATCTGACAAAAATATTAGTTTATAATTGGCAAAAATGGAGATAGAAGATACACTGGCCAAAAAAAAATAAATTAATATGAGTGAGAGATGATTTACTTTCAGCGCAAAAGGTAGTGATAAAGAAAGATTCCCTTCTTCAAAAAACTAATACTCTTTTATTAGAGCAGATTTCGAAAACATCCAGTGAATCTAAGCAAAATAAAGTGATTGAAAGTGATAAAAGAACTGGAGAAAGGTAACGAAATCACTAGTTCTGAAATAACCTCAATATCACCTAATTCCTTATTTTTTTAGCATGCAATCATCTTTGTAGTAGTATTACTAATTATATACTTTCTATAGTGCATATTCTCTCGTCTATATTCATCTTATAATGAAGAAAAAATATTCTGAACTATAAAATACCTTTAAATAGAAATCAAGATTATGCATTCCTAATCTGATACGCAGAAAAACTAAAAGACAGGATCACCCCTTATGAAACTTTACCTTATGAATATAGATGAGACCACAAAGCACAAATCATTTCAAATTCAATTATTTTGCCAGTTCTTTAAAGGTTTGTCCCATCTAAATCTAATTGATAAGGGATTGTCAGGTAGTCTTCAGATATTAATAACTATGAAATATTTTTTTATCACTTCATAAACTTTTTTTGCTAGAAACTCATAATTATCATACATATCTTTAAGAATTCATTTTATATTATCTAATGTTTCATATCCATAATGCAATGAAATATATTTAAGATTTTCACATATATTTTGATAGATTTCATAAAAACGTTAAGCGATATAAATTGAGCTAATTCCATCATGTCTGTCTGACCTAAAGAAAGGAACGATTTTTAGCTGAGTTGTTAAAGGTTCTCTAACAAGATCATCAAAGACAATAACAGTAAATCGGCCAGTTCTTTTAAAAGATGAAATATCAGGTAGTTCTTCAGACGTAATTAGCTTGAATCTCATATTTTCATACCATAGAGTTTGCTTATCCATAGCTATAAATTCATAAAAACATTGTACTGCTTCCCATAATTCTTCATCTTGGTGTTGTGCAATGATAATTAGATCATCACATAGAATATATCTTTCACCAAAATTTTTGCTTTCACCTTTTAGTATTTTATGACCACATTTTTCACCAGACATTCATGGATATATTTTAGGATATTTACTTCCTAAAAGCAAATGTACTACCATCTTTGTCTTTTCTGACTCAGAGGTGTCCATAACTCCTAGTCTAAATAGATGTTTAAAGTAAATGGATTCTGTTTTTTCAAAGGTATAGTTTCATTTAATTTGCATAGTTCGTAATACTTCATAGTATTTTAAAAAGTAGGATAATTATTCAAGAAATATATTTTGTTAACCGCAAGAAAAAGAAGTACATCAACTAATGAGTAGAATTTAACTTCATAAATACTAACTTTTTTCGTAATTATAAAAAAATTGAAATGAGAGAGCGTTAAGCTGAAAGACTGGTTATTTATATCAATTCTCAAAAAGCGTGAGAGCTAGACCAAATCATAGTAAAACAAATACCTACAATTAATATCGATTCCTAAAAAGCTCATAATCAGGGTTGAGAATTGTACTAGTACAGTACTAGTATAGTACTAGTATAGTACTGGTACTGTACTGTACTTTCCAAATTTTAAAATTAGTACATAATACATGTGACATCATTTAATTTTGATTGGCTATACTAAGTACTAGTACAATGTACTAGATTTTTTTTTAGTATTAGTATAAAATATATAAATCACGTGATTAAAACTTGAATAATGATTTATTTATTTATTTTATTTATTCGTTAAAAAGGACAATGTAAATTATCTTTAAACATAATTTTTAAATCCCATTTTGCATTACTATTTTCTACTGGATGATCAATACTTTCAACATCAAGACCTAAATTTAAATCATTTTCATTTTCATTACTTTCTTAAAGCATTTTTAACCATTGATCTAATTGATCTTGAATTTGTGATTCTTCAACATTATCATCAGAATCACTTTCATCATCATTTTCGCCTATTATATCAGTCTCTATATCTAATACATTTTCACCATCATTAGGATCTTTATTATGTTCATCTGGTAATTCTAATTCCTTTAATT